GGCATGAAGAAGGAGAAAAAGGACAAGGCACACCCAATTTCCTCCATCTTGTCCCCTTTGGACCCCTCAACTAGAATCCTAAAATTTTACTTTTGCACCCGTGCCACACTTAATTATTACTGATACCAAACACTGAGAGCTTGTAATTGATCCTGTAAGATTGAAAACTCTTTTCCATGGCCAGAGATCACAGCCAGTGTCTCTGGGGGCTCTGTCCAGGGGGGTTCCTGACCCCCTGCCAGGGTCCCAGGCCTTCCAGAGCAGCCAGAGGGAAGCCCTGGATTCCCACACCATAGGGCAGTGGGTCTGTGGAGAATGGAAGGTGTAACAATACATTTTCAGGCCTCAGGGCTTGTGGCTCAGCTCTGTGGAGCTTTCCTGTGTTCAGCCAGGGGTGTTCCTGTACAGCCTGTGTTCAATCCTGAATGCTGCTCCTTCTCCCTCACCCCAGCATGTGTGTTTGGATGATCGACACCTTTGGCAATGAGGAGCAGCGCCGCAGGTTCTGCCCATTGCTCTGCAGCATGGAAAAGTTTGCCTCTTACTGCCTGACTGAGCCAGGTGAGCATCATCAGCCAGGACATCTTCTCCTCTCTCTGTAACTGCACCATGGACATTGCAAAGGTCTGGAGGTGAAACGTTTCTTTCCATATTTGTTTGTGAAGCTGGGGGGAGGCAGATGATGATTGCTGAGATGCTCTTGGTACAAACTCAGGGTATGATCACAGGGAGAATTTGTAGGCTCTGGACCTTCTGCTTCATTAGCTGCTTCCTTGCTTCTCACACAGGCAGTGGCAGTGATGCAGCTTCCCTGCTGACCTCAGCTCAGAGGAAGGGGGATACTTACATCCTGAATGGCTCCAAGGTACCTCTTTGCTCCTGCTAAAGTGGCCTGGGTCTCACTGTCCGTCCCATTCCTGCTGTCTCCTCACCTCTGTGCATTCTCCCAAGGCAAGACGTGCTCTGCAGAGCTTTCACCAGCTGGCTCCCTGAATGCCTCTGGCTGTGGGGTCTTTGCCTCTCCATTTCTGTACCCTGCCAGCTGCTGCTGTGGGCTCAGGGTTAGTCTGCAAATCCCCCCAAAGCCTCACTTTTCTCGTGCCCTCCTGCAGGCCTTCATCAGCGGGGGAGGTGACACCGACGTGTACGTGGTCATGTGTCGCACAGGGGGCCCGGGCCCCAAGGGCATCTCCTGCCTCGTGCTGGAGAAGGGAATGCCAGGGCTCAGCTTTGGCAAGAAGGAGAAGAAGGTAAGAGGCTTGGTTTGTGCTTCCTGTGTGCTTGAGGGAAGTGCAGGGCAGAGATCACAGAATCATCAAGAATGGAAAGACCTCCAAATCCATTGAGTTCAACCTGTGACTGATCCTCACTTGTCAGCCAGAGCTCTGAGTGCCACATCCAGGCACTCCTTAAACACCTGCAGGGGTGGTGACTCAATTACCTCCTTGGACAGCCCATTCCAATGCCTCACAGCCTTTTCAATGGA